CATGACGAGTGCAAGCATATTGGTGTGGGGAAGTTCACGGACATGGCATGCAGGTGGAAAGATCGTAGTCCGGAAGAAGGTTGGTGCTGAAGAAGAGTTGGACCGCTTTCTTGAGCACATCACCTGGGATTCTGTGATCAACTTGATGAAGTTGTTCAACAGCCGCATCGTACTCTTCTTGCTCAATGGAGGTGGTCGGCTGCGGACGTTCGGCAGCTGTGAGTTCATTGGCTGCACGCATCCTGTCTGGATGATTCAAGGCATGTTTGATATGACGAACCCATTCGTCTCTCGAGCCGTCTTGGAGATTGATGGCAACATGTCCTGGAGGGACGGTAGTGGAGACACGAGATTGGACTGAGCCTGATCTGTGTGGATGTTGGCGTGAGCGGTTGGAGGTGTGGTCGGAGGAGAATGCAGTGAGTGGTTTGGTGGAAGGTTTGGTGGAAGGGTCATAATGACTTTGATGTCTGGATGATGATTTGGGGTAATCAATCCAACCCGATGGGTGGGCTTGATAAGGAGTCTTGGCGTAATCCTTCCACTGGCCCCAGGATTTCCACTTGTTCGTGGAAGGTTGATCGTAGGATTGGTAGTCGGACTGGGAATAATCATTGTGGGAAGATGGATGTTGATGGTATTGTTGGTGTTCCCACGTTGCAGGATGAAGAGTGGCTGGTCTGTGACTGGGTTCATCTCGTGCATGATCATCATCTCTATCATGTAGTTCTTCTCGTCGACGTGGAGAGGCTGACCGTAATGTGACCGAGGCAGCTCTGCTTGGACGTCTCGAAAAGTTTCTCGATGTGGAACGTCGTCTCCTGCGTGGCGAGCGTGGCCGAGACGAACGATGTGTTCGTCTGGGCGATTTTGCTCGACGTGGACTTCGTGGGACAGAGATTGGACGTTTGTCCGGTACTGAACGATGCCGGTGAGAGCGAGAACGAGAGCGACGATGGGAACGTTGTGGTGGTGGTAGAGCTTCATCTGATGGGAGAGGATGGCTTAGAATTGGTGGAGAGACTGGAATTGGTGGTTGTACAGGAGTTGGAGGATGACTCTTGTTGCGCTCTTGTTTCTTGTCCACGAAAGCCTGCATGCTGGATTCTACCGTGTTCTTCATCTGCTGCATCATCTCCTCTGCGTTGAAGGATGCGCTGGATCCAGGTGGTGTGGATTGAGGTGCCACCGGTGTTGGTGGTTCCGGTGCTGGTGGTGTAGACTCGAGGTGGATGTGGAGTGGATAAGGATTGGTGGAATGGAAGAAGTTGTTGGAGATGCTGGATATGGGTTTGAGCTTGTGACGCAAGTTGCGCCTGAGTCTGAGCTTGAGACTGAGCTTGTGACTGCTGGCTCATCATATCACCTCCACAAAATTGTCCAGGAGGTACTGCTGGTTGAGGTGACGAAAAAGATGGAGCTGACCAGCCGTAGTTCCACATGGACTCCGGATAATTTGGCCAGCGACCAGGAAACATGGCAAGAAGAGGCAGGTCTGGTAAATATCCAAAAACAACAGTTCATAAAATGATGCATCCACAACGCATGCAGAATTCGTGATAAGGCTCAAAGGCCCTCGGCATTCAAGTCACAACCCTCTGGACGGCTTACGTGTTCAACCCCTGAATTAGGTGCACAATTTCAACCTCACCGAGAAACCAAAAAAGAAAGTGACCACACCTGTAAAGCATGTCCTGTTGCCTGTTCATGTCAAAATGGCTGCGGGCAGTCTCTTGAGATAACAGAAAGAGTGTTGACGCGGCGGCAGTCTACCATCCCTCGGAGTTCAAAGAAAAGGTGATTCCCAGGCACAGCGGGCATCGTTTCAACACATCGACTTCGACAGGTGCGGCAGTTCACTTTACTTAGACGAATTACTAATTCAAAAGTGTAAATTCAGAAGTCGTTTTACTGTCCATTGTTAGCCTAGAAAGGCTTTCCCCGAAGGGTTCCTGCCAACTTGACGTATGCAGCAGGAGAGACACACTTGCTCAGAAACATCTTATCGAATTACTGATGTGGAATGCATCGCACGTGCAAAAACGCTTCAGTTAAACCTGACAGGAAATAGTGAATGACTAGGCGTGAGAAACAGTGAAGAAGAATTCTTTCTACGTCCTTGCTAGATGCCGGCAGTAATTCAGATTGCGAAAACCGTACAGGTACTGACATGAAATTGAAAGAATTGGGCTTGGTTTGACATAGTTTGAAAGAAATCGGCACGGTGGTTCTTGGGTTAGCCACGTCCCATTGCAGAAATTGACAAAAACTGATGTTGAAAAGGCAGGTACGCTGGGTTGATCAGACCCAGTATCCCATGATTGTGGTAGCTTCGTTGAGTGCGGTCCCACAATCATGCCGCACTCCCCTGCTGTGACAAGTTGATAACAGATACCAAAACGAAGATCTCAAAAAACACGAAACAAGCAAAATAGAAGTTTTACATCTTTCAGATGTTCCACGCACACACACACTTTCACACACAAAGGCTTTCACACCCAGCTTTTACACACACACACACACGCTTTTACACACACACACACGCTTTTACACACAGTCACTTTTACACAGGCGCTTTTACACACAGACACTTTTGCACACAGACACTTTTACACAAACACTTTCACACGCAGAGACTGTTACACACCGACGCTTTTACACACAGACACTTTTACACACAGACGCTTTTACACAGAGAAACTTTTACACACAGACGCTTTTACACACAAACTCTTTTACACACAGAGACCGGATCCGTGAAATCGCAATTTTACCTCAGTTTTTGGCGATCGAACCTCATTTCGTGTGAAAGGGTTCCGATTGGACAAGAGAAATCGCAATTTTACTTCAGTTTTTGGCTACGAAACCTCATTTCGTGCGAAAGGGTTGCGACGGGAACCCGGAAACCGTAATTTTACATCAGTTTTTATTTTGCGATGGAAGTGCATGTCGTGCGAAATCGCAATTTTACCTCAGTTTTTGGCGATCGAACCTCATTTCGTGCGAAAGGGTTGCGACGGGAACCCGGGAAATCGCAATTTTACTTCAGCTTTTGGCGATCGAACTTCATGTCGTGCGAAAGGGTTGCGTTTCGTGCCGTCTTGTTGGCACTGCGCCGCGCCTTCAAGACAGAAATAGAAAAGAAGGAAATAGCAAGAGGGCAAGAGAGCAAGACGGCAAGAGAGCAACAGGGCAAGAGAGAATGTGAAGATGTGAAGATAAGAAGATGTGAGGATGTGAAGATGAGAAGATGTGAAGATGTGAGGATGTGAAGATGTGAGGATGTGAGGATGAGAAGATATGAAGATGAGAAGATGTGAAGATGAGAAGATGTGAAGATGAGAAGATGTGAAGATGAGCAGATGTGAAGATGAGAAGATGTGAAAAATTGAGGATGTGAAGATGAGAAGATGTGAAGATGTGAGGATGTGAAGATGTGAGGATGTGAGGATGAGAGGATGTGAAGAAGAGAAGATGTGAAGATGAGAAGATGTGAAGATGAGAAGATGTGAAGATGAGAAGATGTGAAGATGAGAAGATGCTTGACAGGCCCCCACTATTGGAAAAACCCTGCGCTCAGACGCTCTCGGGAAAAATGTGCAGAGACAGTGATCGTTCGCATCCGCCAATTGCGCAGCGAAAACCCAGAACAATGTCAGAACATTTGGTGTATGATGTAAACTTTGAGTGACGTTTCGAATTCAGATGAGGATGAAGTTGACGCCAAATTTGGTGCAAAGATCCCACCCGTTTTCAATTGCATGAGCACAAAGTGCTATGCAAAGGCGGCGTGAGAAACAGTTTTGCACAGTGTAGCCATGTAGATCGTGTCTAGTATCTGTTGTTACCCAGAAGATTTGCACAGTTGTCACACATGTTTTGCATGGCTGCAGTGTTCACAATGTCTTCGCTCCTCGGGCCTTAAGGGTAAGAACTGTTCATCTCACAGGCATCTTGTGCTCAAAGAAACAAGGAATTTGGCAGGCCGTCCAAATTTGACATCCGTCTGCGAGAAAAAAAGTTGCTGCAGTCCGCTGACTGGGTGCCGCCATCGATTAGTCTTTGGGGAGTTCTTACTCCGGCTGGTCGACTGTCGATAAGGTTTGGTGCCTTTGGGAACTCCCCACCTAAAGGTATCGATCTTAACACAGCCCGGCACTTGGGTTGTTTGATCGGTTGGGTTGGGGTTACATGTTTTTACGTCTTAGTGCACAAACTGGACCCGCTGGTTCATTGTAGTGTGTGCAGGGCTGACCTAAACATTGCACCACGCTTTTAAAAAGGCATGCGCTCTTGCAGCGGCCTTTTTCATGTTTGATGTCAAATGTATTCTATATAGATTTAGAGCATCTGAAGCAACGGAAACCATTGCGTGAACATTTGAATTCATGTACTTTTTTCACTGCGGCAAACACTTAAATTTGATTGAATTGGGAAACCACGAACGTTTCCACTGAAGCTGTTTTGGCTTGAAAACAAACAAACAAACATATAATTATATATATAATATATAAATAAATAAATAAATATATATATATATATGTAAATATATATATATATATATGATAAATCTCATCGCCTGAAACTTGGGGAACGTTTCAAACAAGGCCATGTTTCTAGCCATCAAAGCAGGTGGTGCGTGTTTGACAATATTTTTGCATTTGTTGGTGGAACATTCGTCAACAAAAAATCACATTTGCAGCTTGCACATTGAATTCAATCAATTGCACGGTCAGCTGTTGCACATTCAGTTGTTTTTCCACGAAACAACCAACTGATCGTATCTGTGCATTTGGCGAATTGGTGAATTTGACCTGGGCGCGTTGACGGCTTGGCATGGATGGGCGTGAATGTGATTATGCGCGGAACTTGTAACTGCATCAGTTGCAGTCAGGCTTTGTGTCGTTCAAACTGTTTCACGCATGAATCAATCCCTCAGTCAGTGTTTCTATGTTTTTCCGATTCACTGTGTCTGAAAATGAAAAAAATCTGAAGCCGTTTTCATTCAACGTGGGAGTGACCGCAAACCCGACGTCCATCAAACCCGACATCCATCAACATGTCGATGGACGATGCAGTGGCGCTGTTTCAAAGATTTGACCTGAATGGCAATGGAACTTTGGGTTTTGATGAACTGCGAGAGTCGTTTGCAAGCAAAAAAATGCCGAGAGTCAGACAATCATGTCACATGCATTGTTTACTTTTTTTTGTAGAAAAACGCAGTGCCGTTTTACTTCATTGTTCAGGTTTCTGTACCATTTCCTTTCAACATTGATTCTGGGGCCATTTGCAATGATGTAAATTGACGTTTCAGAGTACTGGTTACCTGGCAATTGACCGGTTCTGCCAGGTTGCTTCTTATTATCGGTGTCCCAGCAACGGATGTCCCGCGATTATTTGGAGTCATTGACACCAATTCCGATGGCAGCTTTGGCATGTTACATCGTGTACCTATGAGTCTTAATGAATTTGATTTTCGCCGATGCATTGGCACATGCAACCCAGGAAACGTTGACTTTGAAGAGTTCATCAGGTGGATGTATGCCCAGCCGGTCGATGCCAAGGCTGGTTCAGAATTTCATCGTTCTCGTGTTTCAACTGACTGCACTGCACACCTGCGAGGAAAAAATGTTGGGGAGCACAGCTGTTGCTAAGCAGCTCTTGAGGGAAATTGCGGACAAATTGGTTTCTGACCGCATACAGCCAGAAGCTCTTTTTGCGAGACCTGGCAAGGACTAGACTAGTGACAAGTGTTGAATCTGGCGAGCAACTTGGGGTTGTTTCCTTTCTGTCAGTCTGAATGGTGTTACATTGCTCGCTTGTGTTGAATTCATTTGGATGATTAAACCATTGAAAACGCAAACCCGGCTTGATGCAAGTCATGGAATAATGGTGCTGTACATGTTGTACCTCGTCAGTTTTTGCTTTTGACATTCAATCTGGGATTTGGCATCTAGTTGCTGTGAAATATGTGAAATGGACAACCCTAGGGCACTCCATTGCAGTCGTGCAGTCTTGCCCGACATGTCCAAGGAGTGCAAACGTGAGATCTGATGGTTTACTCTCACGCACCTTGGCAGTGGTGACGAGACCGTCAGAATAGTGGAGCAACCCTGCCGGGACCGAGCACTTTAGGGTCCAGTGGATGGATGGTGGACCACTTGACAATCGCTGTGTTTACTTTGCGCCGATGGTGAACTGAAGGTGGATTGCTTTGCTCACATACCTAAGGGGATGAGTTGTCTCGCATTCTCTTGGCATATTTGCCTGGGCTATCCTCTACTGTGCTATCAGAAGCATTTCACCTGTGCGATTGGGACCACAGTGGCTGGCAACTGGACAGCAAGTCACTTCCTTCTGCTGAAATCGTGATATACATGTTGTGACACTTTGTGACACTTTGTTGGATTGTTTTTGGGCTTTGGGTGCCTCCTGTGAACAGCTGATACAGGATCAACGTCGAAGAGTTTGTGTCCGCCTTGCGAAGAGAGGCTTGGATCTACCGAAAATTTTGCCTGGGGCAACAATTTGACTTTGCAGCTTTCAGAGGGCTCTGCGCGCAAGCGACGAGGGGCACCCATACTTGATTGCTAAATCTACGTAATTTGAGTCGCTTCCTGCACTGGAATTTACCACTCGAAACATGAACGCTTCTAACAACTTTAACCAGGAAAAACACATGCCGATTGCACAACAAAATGCTAACCTGAACAGCCCAACTGCTATAAAGTCCGACGTCAGGCTGACCGAATTCCATAGCATCCGCCCTGTGCTACATGGGTGAAATTTGGTTACATTTGGTTACTGGACATTTGGTTATACTGGGTAGATCTGTATACATTGTAACGGCTTTGTAATTACATTTTGTAACAACATGTAACGATTTGTACCAACTTGTAACGGTGACATCTGGGGGTTAAATCTGGTTGAACGACTTTTTCAAAGCCTTCCAAAGTCTTCCAGGCCAGTGGAGCACAGGACGGGCAGCTCTCACACCTCACCTGATCTCACCTGCCATTCTGTTTACCATTTCCAAACGTTGTCAAACAAATGAGAAACAAAGCAATCATTTTTGATGTTGGTAGAAGGTTCCTGACATGGATTGAATTGAACATATTAGTGAAACATGTCAAGTCCTCCATCCAAACCTTTCTCTCGCTCGGATTCCACACATAGGAGCTCTCATGTTTTTACGCCTCCATGCACTCTTCTTTCAATCCATCCACTGCACACAGGTAAATTGCATGGGCGTCTGCGGCCCCAAGTTGGGGCACCTCTACTGCCATCAATGGGGATCAGTCTCTGTGTGGCCTATACTCTTTCATCTTACATAATATGTATAATATGTATAATATGTACAATATGTATAATATGTATAATATGTAATATGTATAATATGTATAATATGTATAATATGTATAATATGTATAATATGTATAATATGTATGACATGTATAATATGTACAATATGTATAATATGTATAATATGTATAATATGTATAATATGTATGATATGTATAATATGTATGATATGTATAACATGTATAATATGTATGATATGTATAATATTTATTATACTGTATGTATAATATGTATAATATGTATAATATGTATGATATGTATAATATGTATAATATGTATAATATGTATAATATGTATAATATGTATGATATGTATGATATGTATAATATGTATAATATGTATAATATGTACAATATGTATAATCTGTAAATAAATATATAAATATAAATATATATACAATATAAACAATGAATGCAGGAAAACAACATGAATGGTGCTGGGGCTCAAGCCTCTATGTCCCCCCTGTGTCTCTACTGCACACCTCCCTCACTCACTTGGCCTCCTTGGACTCCTCTTTGTGCTTGGACTTCTGACTGGTGTGGCTCTTGCTGTGGTTGGACTTTGGTGGTTGGTTGGCCTTGGACTGTTCTCCTACCTTTCAGCCACCTCGTCTGTCCATCGGCCATCTTCTGGCCCCACTCGTTCCCAGATCCATGCTGGGTACTTGCATGAGCAGAGCACCTTCATCCGAGGCAGGAAACATTGAGTTAACCTTGTCCTTGCCTGGTAGCCTCCAGGTCATCCACATGATCGAGGAGAACCGCTTCCGTTCCTTTTTCATTGAGCCGCCCTGCGCCACTTTCAGTCCCGTTCGTCCTGCTGTGCGTTCATACAAGCAGCCCCTTGGATTTGATCGCTGTCATCCAAAGAGCCGGCTTTTCGGACATTGGTGCTCCTGCGTGTTGGGCGGCGTTGCAGTAGGCCATGCGGTCGTGAGCAAGGCAGATTGAGCAAAATGTGCTGGCTTAGCTCTTGGCGCTCCCTCCTTGACCGTGGTTTTTCTGAAGCCGTGACTGCCTCACGCATTGTTGGGTCCATTCACAGGAAGGAGTTTCGTCTCGTGGTCTATCGACTTTCAGCGTTTTTCCTTGATGTCCGGTGTTGTGGTGGTCATACCCATGTGAGCATCCAAGGTAGCTACGCCAAGCCCTCTGATACCTACACTGATGGTGTTGCCTTGCACATTGCGCATGCCTTCCGTGATGCCTTGCGTCTTTTGTCAGCTGAAGAGATCCTGGAGCCTGTTGTCCAGGGTCATGAGTCTGTCATGTCAAACGAGGTCATGCTGACATCAAGGTGGTCGGTTGTGAGGGATTGGTTTTGCAAGCAAAGTGGCCATATCGGCATCCTTGAGATGTCTTCAGCTGTTTCGAATTTGGTCCCGCTTTCCCGGCAGCATGTTTCTGTCCGTTTTTGTCACCTTGTTGACTCTGCAGGTGCCCTGTCCAAAGGTCGATCTCCTTCCCGTGCCCTGAAGACTGGTGCCGTTTGTGTCTGCAGTGACTTGTACCCGTACCCTGGATGGATTTACACTCCGACACGCTTGAATGTGCCGATGACCCGACCAGAGAACAACCTCTGCGTCCTCCTCAGGAGACATCATTTCTGTGTGCTGGTGTGCCTTTGGATTTGCTCCGCAGTACTTCCTCACAGGGTCTTCGCAAGCTTGCCGCAAATCGGGTGCGTCTTGTTTTACTTGCGGCTTTCCTGCAACCAGTCCCCTCTCTTCAGCCCGTTGATGGATTGCCCAAGGGGCTCGCTGCCTCGGCTGGTTGCAGTGCTGTTTGGCTTTCTCATTGCCGTGACGTCGATGTACGTTTTTCTGCTGGGTTTGCAACGGGTCGGACTTGGACTTTCAAACGTGACGCGTTCACTTTCGGTTCTTGAAGTTTTGATGGCTTTGGACTCGTAGCCCTGCTCTTGATCCTCTGTCTGACTGCCTGGAATCTGTGGACTTGTCGCTGTGTGGGTTCATGTGCCTCCTTCTGCCACCGTCCACCTGTCCGAGATCCTTCTTCCCCCACTGGTCACCCTTTCCTCATGAGGTATGGTGGAGTGCCTTAAACAGTAGCTTCCTCCTCTGCGCTGTCGTTACCATGGTGTGCTGCTCTGGAGTTGCCGATGGGATGCCGCTGGAGCCTATAACCAAGGCTGATCGTGACAGGCAATTCTGAGGACTGGAAATGTGCTGCATGCAACTCGCGCTGTGAAAGACCAAACGAGGGAGAAACGAAAGGTTTACCTTGATCGTTTCAAAGCTTGGCTGTGGACTGAACACCAGGTTTCCTTCAAGCGCAGGTAAAGCCCCCTGACCCAGAAGAGATTTGTCGTCTGCTGGTTGAGTATGGGCAGGCGCTGTACTCGCCAGGGCGATCCTATGGCATCTATGCGGAGACCATCAATGCGGTAAAGGCAATTGACCTCAGCCTGGGACACAGCGTTTTGCTGGTTGCAAGATGAGCCCCATCATCATCACCCTGCTATGCCACTGAAAGTGTCGGCTGCGCTCGTTGTCATTGCATTGACTTGGAGATGGCCTCACGAGGCAGCCATCTGGATGGACTGGCATCATGAGGATTGGAGAGGTGCTAGCTGCCACGCGCGCTGAGCTGATACTTCCAACAGATGCTGTGCCTGGAACCTCCTTCGCGCTGCTCATTGTGAAGCAGCCGAAGACACGGGGCCGATCGGCAAAGCATCACGAGTTCCTGACGGCGATGTATGGGAGATCTGACCCGTCTGACAAGCTGTGGCCTTTCTCTGCTTCAACTCTTCGAAAACGTTTTTCCATGCTCCTTGCGGCTTTGGAGTTACCAGAAAGAAGACAGAGAAGTACAGGCCATATGATCTTGCTTCATTGCGTGGTGGCGGTGCGATTTGGCTCCTTCACACAGCTGAATCCCTGAGCTGGTCCGACGCCGAGGCAGATGGATATCCAATCGACTTATGGAAGCTTCTTTGCAGGAGGTGCAGGTGACAACATATGAGAGACATGTCAGCCAAAAGACACGGGACTTAGTTAGTTTGTGCGCAGGCGGTTTTGCCTCTGCTTTGCAGCGCTGTGTGGCTTTTCTCCACGGAGGCTCGCGCCAAAAGCTTGGTACTTTCTCCTCAAAGGTGCAAGTGGTCTTGAGCAGAGCATTGGAGAGGTTGGAGAAAGGTTGGAGCTGGTGGAGGATTGTCGACCTCTTTCGCGAACAATGACCGGCAAGGAGATGCTGAGACTTCCAAGCAATTCAGCAAAAATGAAGGCGGCTTCCTATATAACATTTGATATAAAATATACAATACATAATATATAACATATTTTATACAAGATAATTTATAATATATATATATATATGATATATGAAATATGATTTATGATATATAAAAAATATGTTTATAATATATGAGATTTATAATCTTAATTGTAAATACAATATATAATTTTTACAATCTGTAGAAATAATATATATATATTCGATTTTCTTGGGCCATGCGACACTAAACTTGTCTCCCACTTGTCTCCCACTTGCTTCGGTGCCCTGGGCCATGTGACTTCGACTTTAACTTGTCTTCCCACTCTGGGTGCTTTGGGCCATGTGGTGTTAACTTGTCTCCCACTTGTTGCCACTTATCCCCCCATTTGTTGCCCCACTTTTGTCCCCACTTGTCTCCTGCTACGCTTTGGGTTGCCACTCTGTCTGGGCGCCCTGGGCCATGTAATTGCGACTTGTTTCCCACTTGTCCCCTACTTGCTCCTCGGTTCTCTGGGCCATGTGATTTCAACTTGTCTCCCACTTGCTTCCCACTCTGGGTGCTCTGGGCCATTTGATTTTAACTTTGATAGTTGATACATAGTATATATATATATGAATATGTGTTAAAATATGTATTATTTTCAATATAATATTTACAAAAGTATCGAATATACAATATTTATTAAATATAAAATGTATAATATTTCTTTTTATAATATATATAATATATAGTATATATGATACAAAAGATGTATATAATATATAATAGAAATAACATATAATATATATAATATACATAATATATATGATATATATATACAATTTTTCATTAATATTTGATATATTTAATACACACAAAAATGGAAAAAATCACACCCAAATTCTGTTACTGAACCACAAACCAAGGTCTCACAATGAGAAAACCAACCCCTCGGAGGAAACAAAAATCCTACAATCCTTGCATGTCGCAGGAACCGCAGCCTTCAACTGTAGATGTGTCGGTCACAGTGCCGGCGGGTTGGCGCTGCGGGATGCAATTGCCAGCTGCATGGCAGCAGCTGACATGCCATGCTGAGGCGGTGTTCAGTTCTTGGATGTTTTTGCCATTGCTTTTGCCATCGTCAGGTCACCTATGCAGGACACTTGTACCATGTTGATGCACCTTGGCCTCATTTCTGTTTTTTCTGTTTGTTGTTTTCTTTTCTTTGTGTGATTTGTGACAGCACCTGAAGTTCTATGTGGCATTCATTTCCACAAGCGACTCTACAAGGTGCCAGGCGGACATACCATTGGAACCACTTTTGTGACAACATTGAGTTTGCCGGGTTAGAGACAATCTGTCATCTGTCAGCACAACTTCAGGAAACCAAAAATGTATTACCTTAGTATACCTTAGCCTTATTTCATGTCCACTAGAATCATTGGAACTTCTGAATGACAGAGATGATAGTATTTGGTTCGAAAGGGTACCTGGTTTCCTTTGTGCCTCCGTACCTGCAGTTTGCTGCAGAGTTGAAAAAGCGGAAGATGGTTTTGGCTTTTAATTCCTGTGCGAAGCACAGGAATACACAGCCAATCTACATGTAGGCTATTGCGTGCCATTGAAGCAGAACTGAGAAAACACAAGAGGTGCTGTCTTGTGGGCTTTTGCTTCTCGGCGATGTTCAAACAAATTTTGCGATTCAGATGTGGTGGTTTTGCCTCGTGGCACTGTGTAGACTGTCCGGGCCGAAGGTAGTCCAAAATGGAAAGATACCGTCGAGACTCAGGACCTCTGGGATCCAGACCCTTCGCCTCAGCTTCCTGGAGGTTTAACAGTTTGGAGCACCAAAACTCCACGTCCAGAGCAGTTTTACTGGACAGTGGGTGACTTTCTGGCGAATTGCCAGTCAGTGCCAGTGTGGGGCATGGCACCAAAATGTATGTCAAGCTGCATATGCTGAAGAAGCTGTTGGCAACAAGGGGCATTAGATGTTTCTTTGGGAGCTGGTTTCGGAGCTAAGGTCAGAAGGCAGCCCAGGCCTAGAGCGGCATGAGTTGTCTTGGAAGCTGTGGGATTGTGTGCTTGGCATTTGGCCATTCCAGCCTGGAACATGTGGGCATGTAGAGTGCCTTTGTCAGGGTGACTGAATGCTTCAGTGAGAGAACAAACTGTAGTTTTACTGTGTTTTAGTGCCGCATAACTATGCCAACCATTTCGGAAGAGATACTCTAGATATCGCTAGATGCCGCTATGAATGGCGTGGAATTGCTGGATGGTTAACCACAGCACGAACCTAAACGACAGAAACAGGAGCTCATCCTGGGGAACTCAACTACGAACTACGCTGATATTTTTTGTCAAAAGAGATTCAAACGGCAATTGTTGGATCTTGCTTCGGAAGCTGATTTTCCTAGAAGCCATCGACCACCATGGGGTCAATTCTGCTTGGGCATACGGTGTGTCTATATGTATCTCAAGGTATCTGTATATGTTTGCTTCTGACAGATCTTAGACTGACCTCTATGCTTATCTTCGTGTCCTCTTCACATGCCAGTTCCGACTATGTGTGCCAATTTTTGACAAGCTTTGCCATTTGCTGCCAGCAGCTGTTTGCTTTTCCATCCTTCAGGATATGGGAGAAAATCATCCATGACTCTCAGTCACCCTGTGGCACTTGCTGCCACGCTTCGTCCAAGGCCGTGCCTTAGGGTCCATATCTGTGTGATTCGTTTGTTTTTGCAGCCGACAAGGACCTGCTTGAGTGGTGATGTGTTCGAAGAAGTTAAGTGAACTCTTTTCAGGGTTTGCCGCTACCGGGGTCAGTGCATGTTTGCCCACACACAAGCACCCGCAGAGACGCACGTCAGTTCTTTGTTCTTTGGGCATACAGATTGTGTGGTCTGGGAATCCAACAAGCTCAGGGTGGAAGGTGCAAGAGTATGAAATGTACAATTTATATATATATATATGTAACATAATTCTTATATTTAATTATTTGTAAATTGTAAATGTAAATATTTGTAGTCTAGTCATGGTCTACTGCAAGTGGCTCAAGATAAACGAACGTAGAAAAGGGCTTTTATTAACAGCTTTCCCTGAAGCCTGCATGTGCACGCGCCTTAGCTTGGTTTTGCTGTCAAAGTTACGGCCGACATTGTGAGAGAGCATTTTGTCACTTTTTTGTATCGTTTTTTTTAGTCAAACTCGACATCACCTCCTCTTTGATCCTCACCTGGATCAGTGAGGAATATTGCAATTTTTCACACACATCTTCAAGTAACACAGCGAATGCTCAGGGTTTGGCGCCTGACTTTCATGCAGGTCAGGGCCTTAATTCTGCATTTAAATTGAACTTTAAATACTATTTAAATGCATTTGAATCGCAGATTCCTGAAAAGCGAGAAGATCACTGTGTAGCCTGGGTAGTGTCTCGCTGGTCTCTGGGTAGTGTCTCGCTGGTCTCTCGCTAGTCTCTCGCTGGTCTCTCGCTCGTCTCTTGGTGGTCTCTTGCTAGTCTCTTGCTGGATTCTTGCCAGTCTCTTGCTGGTTTCTTCCTGGTTGCTTGCTGGTCTCTTGCTGGATTCTTGCTGGTCTCTCGCTGGTCTCTCGATACTGTCTCGGTGGTGTTTTGTTGCTGTCTCGAGAATGTCTCGGTGGTGTCTCGATTGCTGATGATGAGGATGATGACGATGATGACAATGATGATGGTGATGATGATGATGATGGTGATGATGATGATGATGGCAACGATGATGATGATGATGGTGGTGATGATGATGATGACCATGATGATGGTGATGATGATGATGATGGTGATGATGATGGTGATGGTGATGATGATGATGATGACGATGGTGATGGTGATGATGACGACGATGATGATGATCATGGTGGTGATGATGATGATGATGGCGATGGTGGCGATGATGACGATGATGACAGTGATGATGATGGGGATGATGACGATGATGACGATGATGAGTGTTCAATGAGGGTGATGATGATGAAGATGAAGATGATGATGATGATGATGACGATGACGAGGATGACGATGATGACGGTGATGCCGGTGATGGTGTTGATGACGATGATGACGATGATGACGGTGACGTGACGGTGATGGTGATGGTAACGGTGACGATGACGACGACATTGCGTTCGGAGGTTTGGGTTGAGGCGGTGGGATGTTTGTTAACGCCTGTTAGGAACAACGTACTTACTATGATGCTTCTAGGAAAACAGCTACATTGCAAACGTTAGTTGATGCCATGCAGCAACCACGGCCGTGGGCTGCTCACCTCACTGGAGGAGTTGATGTACTTACTGCATGCTACGCTGGCAGCGAGACTCTCGCGCACATATATCACAAGAAAAAGTATTAGCATCAAAAACAAACGGGAAAGAAGGACATAAGTTCGACAGCAGGAAGGGAAAGAAGGAGAGAGGAGGGAGGGAAGGAAGGAAGGACGGTAGGAAGAGGGAAACAAAGGCCTAGCTCCAAAATGCTGCGTGCACCTTCCAATTTACATATGTTACTTTCAAAGAGCTGCAAGTCCCACGCAATTTACAAGGGCTCATTTCAAAATGTGGCGAACACCGTGCAGTTTACTGTACAGATTTTAGCCGCAGCATGCTGCAAACACCATGCAACTATGTGCAATATATGTGCACTTCCGCTTGCAGCTTTGATCTTCAGAAACCCTCAAAATAGCATCCAATTTACTCAAAATGCTGCAAGTGCCATGCGGTTTACAAGTGATAGTTACAAAATACGGCAAAAACCATGTGATGCGCTAATTTTTGCCCCGGCATGCTGCTGTGCAAGTGATTTTTTTTGGTTTCGACATGCTGCAAGCATTTGACTGTGTAAAGATTTTTGCTTCAGAGCGCTGTAAAATCATAACGCGCTTTTCAGATATCATTCCAAATCTTGCAAGCACCATGCAATTTGCAGATGTTACCTTCGCGCACATGCAAATATTGTGCGATGGCAAAGTTCCAAGCAATGAACTGATGTTGCACAAAACCATGCAGTACACAGGTGCTAGCTGCAAAGTGCATCAAAATGCTGCAAATACCGAGCAATTTCGCGCAAATACTACGCAGCCTAGAGATTCTAAGACCAAGCGACCAAAATATTGCACGCTGATTTGCTTAGCCTTTTGGTTTTGGCCCTTCCATTCAAGAGAAGGAACCATCTTCACCCTTTAGATTTGTGGCTTTTGCACAGAGGGATGCTTACACACAGGGATGCCTTCACACATGAGTGCTTTAACCCAGAGATGCTTTTCGCAAAGACATGTTTTTACACGCAAACTTAGTGCTTTTACACACACCTGCCTTCATGCACAGGTGCTTTTACACAGGGATGCTTGTACAGCAGGAGCTTTTACACACAGACGCGCCGGTATTTCTACACACAGATGCCTTTACACAGCGATGCTTTTACACCGGAATGCTGTCACACACTAGTACATGTGCTTTTACACGGGGATTCTTTTGACACAGAGTAGCCTTTACACACAGAAGCTTTTACACAAATACTCTTATGCGGAGATGGTTCCTACACAGGAATACATTTATATTGAGGTTTTTGTACACAGATAATTTTACAAAGAGGCGTTTTTTCCACAGTTTCTTTAAACAGAGAGATGCTTTTACACACGGGTGTTTTTAGACTAGGACACTTTTAGGCAGAGAAACTGTTACATGAGCGAGGCTGGAAACACAGTTTAGGGAGGGCTCAAACCATTCTGGAATTAGGCTTCCATCCATTCTCACTTTTACGTTTACGCACAAAAAATGCGCGCAAAGGGATGCTTTTACACACAAGCGCTTTAAGACATAAATACTTTTTCACAGAGATGATGTTGCAAAGAGGAGCTTTTAGACGCAGCCGCGTTTACACACAGGCACAGGTGCCTTTACACAGAGGTGCTTTCTCACACAAGTGTTTTTATACACAATGCTTTTACACAGTGCTTTTACATGCCAGTTCTTTGACGCAGAGGTTCTTCTACCCGCAAATACTTTTACACAGAGATCTTGAGCGCTACACGATAATATTTTTCTTACAGAGGCATTTTTTCACGCAGACATAGACACACGCGCGCGGTTTAACAGGGATGTTTTTAAACGCGCACGCGTTTACACAGAGATAGTTGTACACAGAAATACTTTTACACAGAGATGCGTTCACACAGAGATGCATGGCTTCACACACAGAAACACTTTTACACACACAAAGACAGACACACTTTTACACAGAGATGATTTTACACTGAGCAGCTTTACACACAGGTACCATTACAAACAGAGGTGCTTTGACAAAGGAATGGATTTACACGAGGGGCTTTTATGTACTGATGTTTTTACACAGGCATACTTTTGCATGA